TTATAAGAGAAGGCAACAACCAATGACATTAGCAATAGAATACGGAAGTTTTACATGAGCAGGTTCTTGAACCCTTCTTGCTTGCACTCCTCACACCAATCTTGACCGTCCACAGATCTTTTCTTGCCTGACCTTTCCCTTCTCGTGGACTTCAACTCTGATACGGAGAGTAAATGCCTATAATTGTCCCAGTTGCGATACAACACTGCTAACGTCCCTCTTACCAACCAATTACAATCCAAGCTCCGCACAAATCCCGTCATCATCATCAAATAGAAGGAACACCGTTGTTGGGCTTGAGGTATTGTGCGATTGTTTTATCCTCTCTTCTATATTCTTTGCCGTCTCCATACGTAGATGGCATCAGTGGGCATTCGTCTTGAAGGGAATGGTCTTTGCCGGTTTTCTGAAAACAATCCCGTCAAGAATGCCCATCTGTGGCCATGCAATGTCAAGATATCTGGCAACATGTGTGATGGTGCAAGACTCAGAAAAGGGAGGGTCTCGATGTCAATGAAGAGTATTGCAACGCCGGGAATTGTAAAGACAGCCGATTCTTCTGATGGAGACAGGAAATCTGCAGTTTTATACGAGAAGGTTGAACAATGGATGAGGGATTCTGTGGTGGAGATTGTCAACAACTTAAGGGAAGCGCCTCTTTTGGTCCATGTATACGCGGAGGAAAGCGGTGGAACGACGGTGCTGAAGACGGAGAAGGAGGTGGCGGAGGAGAAATGGCCAGGCTTGATGGAGAGATGGGGAAAGAGAGAGACCCAGTTGCCTGATGGGGTGATTTTTGTGGAGAAACTGGAGGACGGTGAAGAGGAGGAGGAGGAGGAAGATGCGATTACCAGGGCATGGGGGATCGTGGTGCAAGGGAGAGGAGTGGACTGTGGGCCTGTCTGCTACTTGCTGAAGACAAGCAGCGTAGGTGCTGGGCCTGGTTTGGGCCTGTGCTGTACTCATTTTTGTTTGATGAAGGTACAGAGTTTCAGGGAGACAGCCAGGTCTCAGTTCAAGAATTGCTGGTTGTCGCAAGCGCTTTGAGACTGGAAACGGTGGCGTTTCGATTATCTGACACCCATCAACCATTGGAAAATTAAGAGTGATGGTTTATGATGTAAATGATTTATACATTTAAAATCAATTATGATTAGTCAATTGTAACAAGAGATTGTTTGTTCCATTTTTTTTTTTTTTTTACTTAGCATTAGTCTTGTTTTTTTTATGATTCCCTCGGTGAAACCACGGGCCCTGAAGTTAACGACCATGTAAGCCTCCAGTGGTCATCATATGAGCAATCAAGGACTCGAATCTGAGACCACAGAGGGAGCAAACCCCTTGATCCCAAGTTCTTACCACTTGACCACCACTACTACTTGCAGTCATGGGACATGATTAATGCCTTGGGGTTATCCATGAAAGAATTTCTTCTGTTTTCTTTCCCTTTTTTTGGTTCCATGGATGTTCTAGGAATCGAAATCAATTGTGTATTTCAATTAAATGGCTTCTGTTTTCTTTCCTTTTTTTTGGTTCCATGGATGTTCTAGGAATCGAAATCAATTGTGTATTTCAATTAAATGACTTGAAATCAAAAGAATGATGCTTGGAAAATTAAAAAATAAATTATTTTAATAAATTTATGATGTTCTAGGAATCGAAATCAATTGTGTATTTCAATTAAATGGCTTGAAATCAAAAGAATGATGCTTGAAAAAATAAAAAAAATATTATTTTAATAAATTTATAAGTAG